CCAGACACAGAAAACTCTCGCTCGAGCCAAGAAGTTCTCGATCGAGCGAAGAAAAACCCAGGCCGCTCGAGCGAAGGAAGCTCGCTCGAGCCAAGAAAGACAGCTCTCAGGTCCAGAACCAGGTGCAACCGCTCGCTCGAGCGAGCCACTCTGGCTCGACCCACCAAACACGAACCCCACTCTCGCTCGAGCGACCAACTCCTCGCTCGAGCGAAGGTCCAAAATTCTGGGCAGCAACACTAGGCTCCCGAACACAACCAACCTGTAACAAACCTGCCCAACACATCCTATAACTCAAATATGAAGAAAAAGGAATGTAAACACGATAATAACCAACTACCAACATCCACGGACACATGCCCGGATCACTGTACAACAAGGGTAAACCCGGGATCGCTATAACGGGAATGAAGAGCCACAACATTTTCATCAATTCTACTAGTTTTTTGTGAAAAGAGAGTTTGTTACAGCCCACGCTTAGAAATATTAATTTAGAGGTTCGAGCTGGTGAAAAGGTGGCTCTATGTGGAGATGTCGGTTCAGGCAAATCGATTCTTCTGGCTGCAATCCTAGGAGAGGTTCCAAATATCCAGGGAACTGTAAATTCTTGCTGCTCACTTCCTCTCATTCATTCATAGCTATTAAGTACACCTCAACTTCACAACCACTGTACTATTTTTATACTAATCCTGCACTGTGCTTTCCCTAAAAGAGGCCATTAGAAAAATAAAACTTAGCAAGGTGTGGAGTTTTATTCTTTCGCTAATTGTTTCCTATTATGTGTCAATTTGTTGTAGTGTAACTCGCTCCCCCTTTCGTTAGATTGGGGGAAATTTTGTTGTCGATGACCAATTTGGATCCATTTGCTCTATTTTACAAATTCATGTATATGGGACTATTGCCTATGTTTCTCAATCAGCATGGATCCAGAGCGGAACAATAAGAGAGAATATTTTCCTTGGGTCGGGATTGGATAATGAGAGATACCAGGAAACATTAGAGAAGTGTTCCTTGGTAAAGGACCTTGACTTGCTACCCTACGGTGACCTCACTGAAATAGGCGAAAGAGTGGTTAACCTCAGCGGTGGTCAGAAGCAGCGGATCCAACTTGCTCGTGCACTATATCAGGATGCTGATATATATCTATTGGATGACCCATTCGGCGTTGTTAATGCACACACTTGTTCGAGCCTATTTAATGTAATGTAATTACTTTTTTTTAGTGTACTGCAATTTTATTCTTGTTGCCCGCAACAATCTTATGGAGAAAATTCATTTCATTATGGCAGGAATATGTTATGGCAGCTCTTTCAACGAAGACGGTCTTACTTGTCACCCGCCAAGTGGATTTTCTTCCTGCATTTGATTCTGTTTTGGTCAGTTTAACTTCTTTGGGTGCTGTCTTTCACACTGTTCTTCATAAAATTAGTTTTTTTTTTCTTCTTTTTCTTCTAATTCTTGCTGCAATTCGACCATCCAACCACGATGACATAGCCTTAAAATTAAGCCAATTTGCTTACTGATCATTTCTATGAAATGGTGACTGACTCCTTTTTAACAGATTTCTTAATTATAGTTCCAAACTTATACTTGTCTACATCTTTAATGAATCCTAGGACCTCAAGACTTTCCTGTTCTTGAAGTACCTCAAAACCTTCATACTTCCATATAACTTTGATGAATGCTTTTAATGGCTGGCTTGCCCAATGCTTTTTTAGTAGTGTTTTTTTAATAATATAAATAAATAATCTTTTTTGTGATAAAGTTGCTGCTAAAAAAGTTAACGTGCTTGGAAAATGCTAGAAAAGTTACTTTTTCTTATTAGGAAAGTCTAGCAAGTATGAAGGCTTATATGGAAATATGAAGGTTTCAGGTACAAAAAAATTGAAGTACCTCAAAACCTTCACACTTTTTTCTAATTGTGAAAGTTTAGGAAGTAGGTTTTGATTGCTGAAAAATGAAGTCATACTTCCATATAACTTTTTTGGATCTGTCACAAGTAAATTTTTTGAGGGAACAGAATTCATTTAGTGTGTATAGCCAAGTGAATATTCTATTTTCTACTAGAGGTTGAGTCCAAAGGGAACTAACTGTATATAACATTGCTAAGTTTCATCACTATTAAGCAATCAGTTGGTAATAATTTCAATTCTTTTGGTTGACAGTTGATGTCAGATGGAGAAATTCTACAAGCAGCTCCTTACCATCAGTTACTGGCTTCAAGTCGAGAATTTCAAGACCTTGTCAATGCACACAAAGAAACTGCTGGCGCTGAAAGGCTTGAAGACGTATCTTCTTCTCAGAAGCGTGAAACGTCTACCAAAGAGATCAAAAAAACTCATACTGGTGAGAAATCTAAAGGGGACCAGTTGATTAAACAAGAAGAGAGAGAAGTATGAGGCATCGGTCTTAAGCCTTACATGCAATACTTAAATCAGAACAAAGGCTACTTGCTTTTCTCCGCGACTTCTATCTGCCACCTTGCATTCGTGATTGGTTCAATACTACAAAACTCTTGGATGGCCGCTAATGTTGAAAATCCTAATGTCACCACATTGCGATTGATTGTAGTTTACTTGGTGATTGGATTTACTTCGACACTAATTTTGTATTTTAGATCTCTCTCCATAGTTGCTCTTGGTACGCAATCGTCAAAATCTTTGTTTTCACAGCTACCAAACTCCCTTTTTCGTGTGCCCATGTCATTTTACGACTCTACGCCTTTGGGAAGGATACTGAGTCGGGTAAGCATCTCAAAACGTTAAACTTTTTGTGACTGTGTTTTTTTTTTTTGCATTGATATTCTTGAAACTAACCCCCTTTCCTCTTCTTTGTTTTCTTATGTTATTTTTTCATTTTTTATGTAGGTTTCAGCCGATTTGAGTATTGTTGATCTTGATGTTCCCTTTAGCTTTGTCTACAGTTTTTCGTCTACCATAAATACCTATGCTAATCTTGCTGTCTTGACTGCTGTTACCTGGCAAGTCCTGTTCATCTCCATACCAATGATTTATTTGGCAATTCTCTTGCAGGTAATCTTGGGAGATATAATACCTTTTTTTTTTCTTTTTTCTTTTTTGATGATTGAGAACTCGGCCTAGGCAGGATCCTTTGGACGAATGACGCTGGGTGTGTAAACTCGAGATTTAGAAGTCAGCCTCTAAGACTATGAACCAGGCAAACGAGACAGGAAATCGAACCTCAGACTTCCTAGAACCAAGTTTGAACCGTACCAGGCAACAAACTGATATACCAAGCAAATGATGAGCCAATCAATGAACTAGGGAACAATCGAAGCTTCAAATAGTCACAATTCGTGTATTCTCCACATTGTCCTATAAATCTAGCAATGTGTTCTACAGTTGATTGGTTTCCATCCTCCCTAAACAAGGTAAAATTTGGGACCTTATATCCTTTTGAAAACTCATGCAGCCCATCTACCTAATCAGGGTATGGCTTTCTATAAACTGGTGTTTGCACTCCTCGAGCCACAAGACCACACACTTCTTGCACCATGTTAAGCAATTGGTCCTTTTATCTTTGACATATAATAAATATATAAAATTATATATTTTGCACGCGTCTCCTAAGTGTCATGTCTTGCATTTTTTGAAAACTTCTATGTTGGTATATCAATGTCTGTCACGTGTCTGTATTTGTGTTTTTTAGATCCGAGCTACCCCTAGGAGTTAGGAGATATATGACAATTAGATATGAAGTGAAATTTAGCAAAAACACGTGGACAAACAGAGATTTTGGAATTGTTTGGAAATAGGTGAACTCAAATTAGGTAAGTAATTGAGGTGGGGAAGTCCTTGTATATGTGTTTGTAGAAAAGGTAAAAATGTAAAAGCATAGCTTGTCATAGTGATATTTTTCACCAATTCACATGTTATCATTATATTTGACATTATATTTGCTTGAAGTAAGTATGCATCAAATTGGAACTATGTAAGTTTCAACTATTTTGTGACTACAAGGTTCTGGGGAATCCTGTTGGATCCATGGAAAAACATAAAATTAATGTTGCATATTACTTTTTTATTTTATTTTATTTTATATAAATCAGATGGTTTGCATTAAATATGATTAAAATGGTAAACTGGCATTGATTATTGACAACAGAGATACTACCTTAGCGCCGCGAAAGAATTGATGCGAATCAATGGCACAACAAAGTCTTTCGTGGCAAACCATCTTGCTGAATCCATAGTAGGATTGATGACGATAAGAGCTTTTGGGAAGGAGGAATGATTCTTCGTAAAGAATCTTGACCTCATTGATATAAATGCCAGCCCATTTTTCCACTGTTTTGCAGCAAATGAGTGGTTGATCGAACGGCTTGGAGTACTTAGTGCAGTTGTTCTCTCCTCATCAGCACTCTGCATGGTTTTGCTTCCTCCTGGAACATTCAGCTCTGGTGGGTGGTACTTTTCTAATTTTTTATTTTTAATTTGGTTTTATATATAGTTATTATTGCTATATCCCAAGCAATTTAGAGTTCATTTGAAAACAAAAAGTTATTTAGGGTATGTTTGGTTACATTTATATTTATGGTTTTCTTTTTAATATTTAAAAAAAAATTGAAAATTGGAAACAAAAACTAGTTTGGCATCTATTTTTGTTTTCAAAACTTCACAAATTGTACTAAATTCTTGTTTTAAAATAAGAAGTTAGTTTCACTTGTTTAGAAGGGAAAAAAAAAAATTCATTCCTTCGTCCTGCTTTCATCGCCTTTGGCCACCACCCATCACTCATCACCCCCACCGGCCACCCCCACCTCTAGCCACCGTCACCAGTGAGGTCCTTTGACAACCACCACCTCCTGCAGCTGGAAACTACCTCTAGCCTCTGCCAACCACTTCCCACAGGCAGCAACCACCTTTGATCACCTTCTCTTAATGAAAATCACCTTTAGCCACCACCTCCTACTAGTGGAAACCTTCTCTTGGCATAAATGTTGCCAAACAACACATTAGGGTACTATTTTATACTTTTATTTTTCAAAAAATTTGCAAACTATTAACCTAAATGAAAACTATTAACTTAAATAAACACGTCTGATAACGGATTTCATTTTCCCCCAAAAAAATGTAAATAATTTTTCAAAATCTACAGTGCTACTCTTTTCATAAGCTGGAAGTGATGGAACTATAATCCGCTAATGATTCCTGTGTGAGTGATTTTCTGATCACACTACCCGTTTAGTAATCAGCTAAAGAGCACTGGCAGAATAGATGACTTCAGCTAACCTGTAACAAAAAAAGAAGGCTCTGGCGGTGGTTCTTCCACCTGGGGGCACTCCGACGATCAAGTGAGTATATCTCTCAAAGATAATCAAGTGCTAAACTCACTGCTCAAAGCATAAATTGCGTACCTTAGACCCACGGGGGTGCCTCTCTTTTATAGTTAACTCAATCCCAGTCCCACTAGAAGCCTGACTTCTAGGGACTCCAATTCAGTGCTTACTTTGGACTCTACAAGAGATAAAGATAAACTCCCTAAGAGCTTTATCCTCATCTTAACTAAGTCTCCTCTTCATTCTAGGACTCTTGTCCCTTATCCGTTTATCTCGGATTCCGATATCTTCGGAGATAACCTCGGCATAATGACCAGGACACGTGGTACCTCGGCTGACACACCGGCGTCACCTTGCCACATGTTGGTACTCAGAAAATATATCCCCACCACTGCCCCCTAGGTTCTATTACCTCGGCATTTTGAGGTGATGGAACCGATATCGGTACTTCTTCCTGTACATCGGCACAAGAACCCCTCAGCCGAGATCATTCATTTCAGGCAGACATGTTTTCTTCAGAGAACAAGAATTCCAATGAACTCTTTCACGTGTGTGAGCTGTCACGCATCATTTACTCAACCGTTTCATTCATGCATCTCCACTTCATTGGATCGTGCCCATGACAAGCTTGCAAGCCGTCTTGCATCTCTGGGCGCCGTCTGACGTATGCGTTGTTCCAGGCGCATTTAATGCTCCGTTTTGCCGCTATTTCAAATTTTTGACAAAACCTTTCCCCCTTTTTTCATTTTTTCACTTTTGCGTTCGATTTCTCTTCGCTTTTTCTCTCTCTAGCTCTTGAATACGCCATTGCTCCAGTCCTCAAGCTCTGAAACTACCTTCCTTTCTCCCTTCCTATGAAGCTTTCGTCGTTTTTGTTACATCTGTAACTGTCGTTTGACTTCGGCAATCTTCATACCGGCTTCACTTTTTTCTGGTAAGCCACTGTCCCTTTCGTTTTCAATTCTTTTGATATTCTTCATTACTTGTTGCCATTATTGTTCCAAATCTTGCGAATCACATATCTGAACATATTTATTCAAATGGTTTTGATCTTGCCCATATCTTGAATACATATTGTTCACCACTTTCTTGCACTCTTGTTACTATTCTTGACCATTTATTTCTCGTATTCTTTATGCTCTTGATAGCCCATTTTATGCCTATGTGCCCTGATTCTTGAATTCTAAGCACGTCTTTGCCTTTCGTCTTCCAGATCCGTGCCTTCACCCCTGCTTTCAAAAAGAGACGCTCAACTATAAGCCATGGTTTTCGGATTTGTTGTCTCTCCAGATTTTCTTTAAAAAGTCCAAGTTGAGAGAGATTATTAGTGGAAAAGATTGTGAGAATACTAGTATTTATCATAGATTTTGCCGTATTCCTCAACTTTTAACTATTGAACTATGAATTTTTGTAAAATTAAGATATTATAGTGAGAGAAAAAAGAAAAAACTCATGACACGACGGTCTTATTAACTCTCTCAACACATTTTTTCTCTGAAATCCAACCCCTCTATTTAGGCCGATATCATAGAGATATTAGGTATAATTGGTATGAGACATAGGCGTCAGACTACCTCTAAAAAGAAAAGCCAGACACAAAAGAAATAATAGAGTTGAACTTAATAAGGCAGAAGTTACACAAAATCAAAACAGAGGTTTTGATGTCTCATTCACATTATTCTGAGGCTGGCTGTGAGCGTAACAGTAATCCCATACATCGTAGGCCCACTAGATGATTCGAGTGCCTTTGCTTTCTACCACTATTTGTATAAGCTTCTCTACTCTAGAGTGTGTTGTAGGTTGACTAAAAAGATGGGAACCACTCTAAAAACGGTGTTACCACATCCACTCTAAAATGGCGCATGTTCTGTTGTATTTACACAGTAATCTTGAGATATCTATATTTCAACTTATATTAATATGAATTTATAGTTGAATACTCCAAATAAAAGACAATCAAAATTCTAAGAGCAAATTAACTTGCGGCTCGCCAACCAGCCATGAGGGTCGATAGTCAAATGGACCAAGTTAAATATTTAGCTTGGTGTAGTCTTTACAGAAGAAAGAGTGGCTCTGATAGTGGGAAAGGCACATACCAAGGCTCTAGACAGTATACGATATCCGCACGTAAAAGCGCTGCAAATCGCCGACAACATGTGTGCCCTTAATTTGAAAGAAAATGCTACATTTATTACATTAAGCCGAAGGTTAACCGAATTCAAAATTGGGTAGCCAAAAAGGTAAATCCTCATTCTCAGACCAGCCACAAAGTGCGTGGAGAGAGCATGTGAGAATTCGAGCTCTTTATTCTTCACTACTCTCGGGTGGTTCTGGGGGGAATTGGCGAGGCTGAGTTTGTGGGTGTTGTGCAATTCCATGATGAAGACAGAACTTGAACCGTACGACTGCACAATAGGAATTTCTAGACTCTTACCTCATGATTCCATTCAGTTTTCAGTAGCAGACACAAAAGAGGTAAGAGCGCCGCCATAGTATTCCAGCGCATTTAGATTGCGTGTTTCTCTTTCAAAGTCATAATATATACCTTTGTCTTGTTCCGAACGTCTGTATCTCATCCTTACGCTAGCACTGTTCGTTGCAAAAGGCCACAGCAGGCAGGGAGAAAACGCAATTCGGTGCTGACCATATTGGGACCGTGCCCTTGCTTGAGCAAGGATTTGAAGAACAGCTGGTCACCGATCACAACTATGCTATGTGGGCAGTAGGAAGACCACCTAAAAGGAAAGCAGATCCCTGTGCTTTTTCAAATTTGACGCATGATAAAGTCGCTTTGACTCCCCGGAAACGTTCAAAAAAGCGAAAGTAGCAAGAGCCCGGTCTCCGACCTCTCGCTGCAAAAACACAACCTCCAATTCGTCTTTGCTTTACTACACACACTCACGAGAAACCAGGATATACTTGCCAACCATCCAGGCTGATATGAATTTTGGTCTAAGCTGATGGCCCATGAGCCATTCATAAGGCATTCGGCTTCCGTTTATCCTCTGTCGTTCCTTATAATTAGAAACGAAAAACCGCCCGAGCTCTGTACGACGTTCGTTGCTTATCTGTTGAGAATGTGGTGTCCAGATAACAGCAAAAACCAGTTGCAATAAGGACTTTTCTGGATGCTGCTCACAGCCGCGCGCGATTCTGATGTTGAAAACTTCTGTGGTTCACAAGTCGTTATTGGTGCTCTAGAGTTACACCCTTAACATTACACAAGACCGGCACGCGATCTGTCTCATCCGTAAAGTCTCGTCTTTTAGATCTGTTGTTTATGAAACTACTATTCGAACAGGATCTGTTTTGCCACACTAACAAATATTTAGGGCAGACCTCTGTTATCTAGAATGCCGACAAAGAGTTAAATAACTGACTTCTTGACCATTAAGGATAAATTGTATCTCACAGGTTGTAATACTATTGAGGATAACTTATATATATAGTCCTGCCATAAATTTCCAAAGCCTTGATACTTCAAAGAGTATAGTTGGTCTGATTTATGGAAAAATTCTCGCAGAACAATTCAGAGAGAGAGAAAATATAACCCTTCTTGTCTCAAGCTAATCACATGGACGAAGCCAAATTAGAGCAACATATAAATGAAAAACAAACAATCAGTGAAAAGCAGGCGCAAAATTTGGAAAGTTCAAAGGAAGAAGCCGAGTCTTTTCATCCTCTCTTACTTTTATAACAGCAAAATTTGACACGACCTCAGGGGGTACCACCCCCCCCCCCAAAATACCCTCCACCCAAAAAGCCACAAAAGTTTGAAAAGCACAAAGCAGATAATTTAATGCGCCAAACCAGGCCTGTTCTTTTAGCCAACGCTCGAAGGCTAAAATAACCTAAAAAGCCCACAAACGCCAACCAACTTCCCCAACGGGGGCTTTAGTTGGTTTTTGTGCTCGGAAGAAGCGTGAACCTTTTGTTCAGAACGAAAGGTCGCTTCCAGGTTTGATCATCATTTGATCCGTGTGGGCTATTGACAGAGAAGAAATTTGTATGGCATATACCACCTTTCACGGATAGCAATATAAAAGATTACCACTTGTTATCTTGGATAGTTGATAGCTCATCTAATTAGATTTGACAATCAAATTAGTTCGGCGTATTGG